TATGCAACTTCTAATACTTCATATATATATCCTTATAATATTAATATTAATAAACAAAACATCTAATATCTTAAATGTTTTAACACTACAACAGCATACGTCCCCAATAATATTAGTAATTAGTGACAATGATGTTGATTGAAAAATATAGTTACATTAAAAAAAAATTATATATGATAATACCATGATTTTATACTTAACCTGTTATCAAAACGACTATTTCTTTACCAAAATTAAAAAATTAATATTTTTATATATAATAGTAATAAGTACTAATTAGTTTGATAGAAATAGGAAAACATTGCTAAAAAATAGTTCCAAACTGTTATATAAAACTAAGGGCCAGTATATTCACCTTCCACTAAATTTACCCAATGCTTGTCAAAGTAACAATTGGATAACGTTTATCGAAAAGGAACCAAGCGCCAAACACTTTTTCTGGGGTAAACAAAAATTATTTGCAAAATAACTCATTTTTAATGCTGCTCAAAAAATTTGTAATGATTTGGGAACCCTCTCAATCCTTTTGAAAAAAAAGTTCCAAATGAAGATCAACGTTTTGAGCATTAATAAAAATGAGTTATTTTACAAATAATTTTACCAAGCCCAGAAAAAGTTTTTCGCGGTTGGTTCTTTTTCGATAAGCGTTATCGAATTATGTCAACAATTGTAAATTTTACAGTAATCTGTCTAGGAAATTTAAAGGGTGGAGAATATATTGGCCCGAAACCATATATAATTTATCCGTAAATGGTCTCTTTCGGTAAATAAGGACAACGCTTGTCCTAATTTAGCGAGAGAGACCAATGCTGGAGAAGTGACGAACCCGGGCCTAGAAAATCGTCTTAAATCTGTATAAAATCTATACCTACAGTGATTTATAAGGGATTTTTCACTGTACATAAATTTATAAATTGTATTTTTTTTTAAATTTCGAAATGTAAATTAGTTTACTATAAAAACGCTCAGGCAATTTTATATAAAACAAAACTAATTAATAAGGTTTTATAAGTATTTCAAGCGGGCGGAATTGTAAAATATAAAAACGTTCGGGCAAATGATCTGTAACTTAAACGCTAAACTTAGGACAAAGAAATTGTAGTGATAAATGTATCAATAAAAATTCTTTTTGTACAAATTCTATATTATCAGTTTTTCTGTTTTTTATAAATATTTTATAATTTTTTTTTGGTTTGTTTGCTCGTGATGATTAAAAAAATAACTGCACAGATTTAATTTCCCATTGCACAATTTTCTTTTCCAACTGCACAATTTGCTTTTCAAACCATATTTTGTGTCCAACTGCACGTTAGAATAGGCCCTGACTACACGTTGTCTTAAAATGCACATAAAATAAACACTTTACTACAGCTGAAAAATTATACATGCAAAATCGGTTGCTATAGCATATATGGAAACAAATTATATAAGACAGCTGAGCTTAACAGGTGTAGTTTCTGTAAAAAAATTCAAATCATAACTATTTTGCTATAAGTTTTAACTTTTTATTTTAAAAAAATCATTATAATAATTGTTTTCTATCTTTTAATATAAATAGTCTTAAATTATTAATAATTATAATTTATAAATTCTATTTTAAAACTCGAAAACTTATTAGGCTTGGTTATCCTGTATATTTTTGCATATTTGATAATAAAATATTAAATATTATAAGAATCTTAACAATTTTTTGTAAAATTATAGTTATAAGGCTAAGAAGTAAGTCTTTTTGTGCTAAGCTCAAAGTTTACTACAATTGAGCTAAGCACAAAAAGACACTTCTCAGACGCATAATTTTATTTGTTTAACTATACATTAACCGTAGAATTATAATAAGTATAAAAAATTGAAAGTAACGTTAGATTAGATCTGACAGTAGTCAAATTTTTATATTAGTCCAAACGGCTAAGCTGTTTGGTATAAATTATTTGTACACCTCAGGAAGTTTTTTGATTGAAGATAATAATAGTTTATTATGTATAAATTTTTATGAACTCCATTTTGGTTCCAAGTTTTTTTTTCAATTTATAATAAAGCTCCAGCCTGTGACTAAAATGCCCAAAATCCCATGTTGCTAAGTTCAGCTTGTGACTAAAAGACAATAAAGTCACAACTTATCAATGGTGGAGTAGATAATAGTATATTATGTATCAAGATTGATAAACGCCATTTTAGTTACGAATTTAATTCAGGCATGAGAGAGTTTGCCAGCGAGTGCTTAATTAAATGAGTGCCTAGAAAAGTTTATAAACGAGTTGCATACTATACTTTTTCTATGACAAATGCTTAATATTATCTTAAAAATGATTTAAATTAAATATTTGTATAAAGCGATATCTATACGAAAATAAAGTACCCATCCCAACAAATATTTTTGACTTAATTTTCACCATTAACATTGCCCGTTAGTATTTTAATTAAACTTACATTTTAACAATTATTAATTCTTTTAAATAATAAAATAACATCAAAATATGATTAGGTTAAGAAAATATGTTATCTTTTAATTTTTTTATTAATATAATTGCAAATTATTATCACAAAGTTTTAAAAATTCTTACACGGGAAACGTATTAATTGGAATTACCGAATTACCGTTAGAATTTCTATCTTGGGAATCTACCGGCGTTAAAATCTTAAATTTATGTGTAAATCAAAATTTATCCCTTGAAAATTTACTAACAATCGAAATAGAAGCAGTTTTCACAGTAAAAGAGAAGAGAATGTTTTATGGACACTGTACGAAAAATTCATTTAATCTTTTTAAATATTGGCGTCAAGAAACTATTTAATACTTTTGTATTTTTATATTGAGATAATAAAATAATTTTCACATTTAGTATTATTTTACAAGAAAGGCACTTTATTTTAACGATTGTACGACATTTGACAACTGTCAACCTACTTAAAACGAACTTCAGCCCGTGACCAAAAACCTGTTGCTAACTTTAGCCCGTGACTAAAGCGCCATAAAGCCACATATTGTCGAAGTGTATTTAAAAGGTTACTTAGTGTCAAGGAAACATGTACGATAATGGGCGTTTTAAAGGTGGGAGTAGAAAAAAGATTTTAAACAATTAATAAAAATTAAAGGGCCCAACACACGTTCAATAATAATGTTTATTATCAATGTATTGACAATTCATAGAGTTCACATAATATGTCAAAAAATATTGACCCCTTAAAATGCACGATAAACACAAAAATAACAAAAATGTCCTGTTGTATGTATAGTTTAGCAATACATAATTTTTCTTGTATATATTTTTTAAACATGTACTCGTATAGTATAAACTAGTAGCGAATCGATCGGTTCCGGTATTAGAAAAACGAACATTTTACATTTATTTATATTTATATTATTAAGTGAAAATTTTAAACAGCACGAATATAAAACTACATTTATTGTTTACTATAAAACACTTTCAAACTTAACATTTTGTATAAACAACATAATAAACCAACATTTTATTTATATTAATTCTTGGAAACATGATATCACTCCAAGAAGAAGGTTAAAAATTTATAGATTTTACAGGTAGATTAAACCAATGGGTGTCAAATTACGAGGGAACCACAAAAATAGCAAAAAAAACTTAGAATTGCACTTTTACATAGAATGAGTGTAGGATTATTATAGGTACTTTTACCTCCCATAACATGCGAAGAAATCGTTTATTTAAAGCCGAGCTCATAATAATTTTGTCCTTAAATTAAAATTATCGAGTTTTCGACATTTTGTCAGGATTGACGTTTAACATATGTTATATTATAGGTTATGTACATAAATTTATTCTTCAGGGTTTACATTTTCCCTACTGATTTCGAGCTAAACACTAAAGATGGAACCACTGTTCCCATGTAATTTTATTCTATTTTCATTATTGTACGGCGGTGTATAATAATTTAAATTTTTAACTGCTGAAGTCTTTCGTCTTTTTAAAAATAGTTATTTATGTCATTAGGTTAAGAAGTAAGGCTTTTTGTGCTAAGCTCAAGGTTTGAGCGAAGCACAAAAGGCACTTCTTGGCCGAATGGCATACAACATTTTATCTTCAAAGCACTTTATATAGGTTAATTTAATTCAACATCAAAGCGGCCTAACCTCACTTTTTTAGAATCTCATTTATTTATTAGCTAAAGATTACATTAAATGTACAATAATTATTATTGCTTTTAGAAGCAGTAATAGTTTGACAATACCTAGCAACATGATTTAAGTAAAAATGGATTTTTGCTATTACATTGAATTCAATTAATTGTTTAATAAATAGGTAGGTATCTAATTTAAATTTTTTTGGATTTTTATTTAAAAAATAGGTAGTTTGGAATGTTTAAGCTGTGTTAAACATTTAATTTCACTGAAAACTTAAAGCAAATTAAAACTTAAAGATAATTTAAATCGTAGAAAAAGAATCGTGCGTTTTCTTGGTTGCCTAACCTCACTTTTTGTTTTATTATTCATATTTAATTTTACAATAATTTAATGAAAAATATTAAACATTAACAGTAAAACAAACAAATTAGTGCTTATTATAAATAAATTAAACCAGTTTAGTAAGTACGTTAATTTCTTAGAAAAGGATTAATTTTTCAAAACAATACCCCTAGCGAGAAAAAATCGAACTAATTACTTGCCTCATACAAATTTTTATAGGCCTAGGCCATAACAATGTATTTCTTTATCGAATGTTGACAACAATAAAGTTTAGATTATAGACCGCGTGGAGATAAAAAACATTTTTTAATATACAGACTTTTAAAAATGAAAAAAGTGCATTTCTATTTTTCCTTGAACTTTAAACAAAAACAAATACTTAAGCACAGTTGTTTCATCATAGAACCTATAACCTATAAAGGGAGTTTAAGTTAAGATACTAAAAAACAAAGTGTCCTATATCACCAAAAGCAAAATTCGTAAAATAATCGCTAAAATAGTTCGAAAATGACCTCGTATCGGCGGTAAGCAGCTACCAACGTGTCAGTCTTACCGATAGCTAGTCGCACAACGCATACCAACGTAACGGGACGCACCTTCCTTCACCTCTCACCAGCCCAACCAGTTCAGTACCGCTGAAACAAACACGACGAGTGCTTTAGTGATATTTATTTCGAATTTGTGCGTGATTTTCAATGTTTTTCGCGGATTTTCCGGGCAAATAGTGTGTTTACCTTTACCGGAATACATTACAAAGTAAGTTTTGTTTCATATTACTTCCACAATATGGCTTATTATAACCTTATACAACATAAATTCCTCGGGTCTAAGACGACATTCTTATACTTATGACGTGCAGTTAAGGCAAGATAGAGAGCGAAACTTTTTGTAACTAAGGTCATTTCAGATTGTTGATTTTGCTACAAAATAACATAAAAGTAAAATTATAGAGTCAACAAACTTTTGACAGTTTAACCTTATGACATAAGTAGTGTTGTTTGGTTACAGAAGGGTAATTCCATTTATTAGCCACCAATGAGTGCACCTCATAAACTCTAATTTTATTTCTTTTTTAACTGTAAATAGACATGGACCCAAGAAGTGAAAAAAACTCCCCTTTTCTTTTCTCCCCCTATCACCTATTTATACAGGGCTACGCAAAAGTTACTATGCAGACCTAACTTAAAAAAATTGTACTTTTTTTGCTAATGAATCTATCGACACTAAACAAACTGTTAATTGTTAAGAAAATATTTCTCTTTTAAACCATATAGGACACATTTAGTTATTGATGCCCTAAATGGTCTTTGGGAATTTTTTTAAAAATGCAATTTTTTGGCAAAATTGTCTAATTTTATAAATTTATATATTCTTAGAACAACTTGCCAGCAAAATTTTTTTAATGTAGTTTGTTACCATAGATCTTACTTTATATAAAAGCAATGAAAACATTTTCAAATGATATTGGCTAAGAGTTCAAAAAATATAATAAAAATCCATGTTTTCGAAAAATCACTATTTTCAGCCATTTCATGGTTTAAAAAGGCTATGTTTGAGTGAGTCGATTTAAACCAATTTATGCTTATCATCACATGCACTTATTAGCCTCCAATAACCATAAATAAAATTATTGTGTATTTTGCTTTTAACTGGGCTGTGGCTGTATGTACAGCCCAGCTATAAGCAAAATACACAATATGCCCACCTGACTTTCAACCATTTCATGGTTTAAAAAGGCTATGTTTGAGTGAGTCGATTTAAACCAATTTATGCTTATCATCACAGGCACTTATTGGTCTCCAATAATCATGAATAAAATTATTATGTATTTTTCTTTTAGCTGGGCTGTGGATGTATATGTCCACCTGTGACTATATCCATATTATTAACCATATATTATTAACCATATATTTCAAAAAAGCGTATTGCATCTTTAAAATAACTTGACAGCCTTGAATTGACTTCTAATTCATTCTAAATAAAAATATAAAATATAAAAACCACATACAGTGGCGTCGAAAATTAACTACCCATTTATTTATTTTTTAAATTAAGAAAACAATCAAATGTACAAAAATTAATTAAATGACTAAAAGACATACTTTTCATAAACTTTATATTTAAACAAAATAAAACAGGTATTAAATCCTAAATTTGAATTAAACCTAACTGCATATACTTAAACTGAAGAAATCATATTCTTAACTTTTACAATCACCTAAAAAACCTATTTACTATTTTTACCTCTAAAAAGTTATATGAATCTGAAAATTTTCTTATGTCTATAATGTCTATCAAGAGGAATAAATTAACGACTTATGGCCTTTAAATAGATCGCAGCAGACTTCACCAAAAATGTTGGTAAAATTATATAGATACTTTAATTTGTGATACCTACGTACAAATATCGGTTACAGTTGCATCCACTCGCCATTCTATTATTTGTTTTCCCGAAAAATATTTTTATCCGAAATCTGCCGAAAGTAGTCAACAATCGGCAGTAAAGTAAAAGAAATCGGCAGTAAACTAGAACTTTATTTTTTTAATAAAAGTTCTTTTAGGTGATTGTAAAAGTTAAGAATATGATTTCTTCAGTTTAATTATATGCAGTTAGGTTTAATTCAAATTTAGGATTTAATACCTGTTTTATTTTGTTTAAATATAAAGTATATGAAAAGTATGTCTTTTAGTCATTTAATTAATTTTTTGTACATTTGATTATGTTTTAAAAAATAAATAAATGGGTAGTTAATTTTCGACGCCACTGTATGTAGTTTTTATATTTTATATTTTTATTTAGAATGAATTATAATTCTATAGAAGTCAATTCAAGGCTGTCAAGTTATTTTAAAGATGCAATACGCTTTTTCGAAATATATGGTTAATAATATTTGGTTAATAATATGGATATAGTCACAGGTGGACATATACATCCACAGCCCAGCTAAAAGAAAAATACATAATAATTTTATTCATGATTTTTGGAGACCAATAAGTGCCTGAGATGATAAGCATAAATTAGTTTAAATCGACTCACTCAAACATAGCCTTTTTAAACCATAAAATGGCTGAAAGTCAGGTGGGCATATTGTGTATTTTGCTTATAGCTGGGCTGTACATACAGCCACAGCCCAGTTAAAAGCAAAATACACAATAATTTTATTAATGGTTATTGGAGGCTAATAAGTGCATGTGATGATAAGCGTAAATTGGTTTAAATCGACTCACTCAAACATAGCCTTTTTAAACCATGTGTTCGTTGCGTTGAGTATGTTGAGTATGTTGCGCGATTAAAAGATGGTTTAACAAAAAACAAAACTTTATTTTAACATGGTTGTGTATATGACTAAGTTTGAAATCTTAATCTTAAAATACTAAAATCTAGGTAGAAAAAATACCAAAAAGGGGAGGGCGTTGCAGCCACTTGATGGCTAATATCTTCCAGATGTTATAGCAGAATTGATTCTCCCTTTTCTTGGTAATTGCTTTTACTTGTAAATATTATGCAGTTGTTAAACAGATAATTTATAATATATGGACCAAGCGTAAACATGCCCCCGGCCTTGGCAAGTATTGCCAAAAAAAACAAACAAAAAACAAAGAAAAATACATTGATATGGCAATACCCTTTACATATAGATAATATCTAATAATATCTAATAATATCATATTATGACAATGCAAATGAAGTAGCAGAATATCTCAATTGGTGCATTATAAATTCGGTAAATATATAAGTATAAGTAAAATATAATTTGTAAAAATGACTGCCTTTTAATTTTAAACATGCTATAATCGAACATATAAATTTTAAGCCTAACTACCTAATACTAACTTATATTATGTCTACATGAGTTCAATATATTTAGTTTGTTCACTGCTTTTAATTATTCTCTACGTCGTCGTTTAAGGGCAACGGACATATTTTAGAAAAAGATCGTGTTACGACACCACTAGAAGTTTTAATTTTAAAAACACGTGCTACACCATCGCGACCACAAATCACTTCAATGATGCGACCAAGTTTCCACCTCATGGGTGGCAAATTGTCCTCTTTGATTAAAACTAGGTGGCCTTCGTCAACCTTATCTCCTTTAGTAGATACCCATTTGGTTCTTTTCTGTAACTCAGAAATATACTCTTTGTTCCAGCGTTCCCACATATGTTGTGATAGCTGTTGTGTCAGCTGATAGCGTGTAAGTCGATTTATCGGGATGCTTGTGAATTGTTTTTCGCCTGTTGTGGTTATTGGACGACCAATAAGAAAATGCGCTGGGGTTAAAGCTGTGTAATCATTGGGATCGGCTGACAGCGGCGTCAATGGGCGCGAATTTATTATTGCCTCAATTTGGGTTAATAACGAATAAAATTCTTCATAAGTAAGGTGTGCATTTGATATAACTCTTTTGAGATGATGTTTAATTAATTTAACTCCTGCCTCCCAAAGACCGCCAAAATGTGGCGAATAAGGAGGTGAGAATTTCCATTCTATCTCGTCTTTAGACAATGAATTAACGATACTAGACTTATTTAATTTAAGAAATGAGCTAAGTTCTTTAAAATCCGCACTTGCAGAGACAAAATTCTTACCATTGTCCGAGAAAATTTGTCGGGGTTTTCCCCTACGTGACATAAATCGTTTTAGTGCTAACAAAAATGTTTCCTTGGATAAATCCGTAACAACTTCAATATGTACCGCCTTAGTACTAAAACAAACAAATATGCAAATGTAGCCTTTGATTAGTTTACAACCGCGACCCTTTCGGTCTCGGAGTAAGTACGGACCTGCGTAATCAACGCCGCTTACTATAAATGGTGGCCCGGGCAATAGTCGCTGTGCGGGTAAATTTCCCATAATGGGCTGTATACCTTTTGGTTTAGCTCGAAAACAAACCGTGCAATTATGAACTGTGCGGCGGGCTAGGTCCCTTCCCCCTATTGGCCAATGACTTTCTCGAATATCTGCTAAGAGGTGTTGCGGCCCGGCATGAAATAATTTTTGATAATGAAAATAATGAAAAATAAGCCTTGTAAGCGGGTGATTAGATGCAATTATACTTGGATGTCGTTTTTCGTAAGAAAACTGAGAATTTTGCAAGCGACCCCCCACGCGAAGAATACCTTCTCTGTCAACAAATGGAGATAAATTTTTTAATTTGCTTGAGTTTTTAACAGGGGAATTATTCGTTAATTGTTGTATTTCATCGTAAAATGTTTTTACTTTAGGATTTGAATTAAGTTTTTTCTCTAAATTAAAATATCGATTTCGTGATAGATAGGAATTATCTAATTTTTCGGGGGGGTTATTAAAAGGAAGGGCTACTATAAATTTACCGGCGGATTCTCGTCGAGTAGTATTATTAAAATGCTGTTCGCAGGCAATCTCTTCTTTTGATAAAATTTGCCTTTCGGCAATTTCCTCTAATTCCGAAAATCGGGCTAACTGATTTTGAATTTGAGTTTCGGCAGATGAAGTTAAAAAATTGCACTTTACTTCGTTGCGCGCTGGAAATGGTACAAAGTACGGCCCTGCTATAACCCAACCGAATAATGTTTGGTGCATTATTGGTTTGTTTTTACCTAGACTAACGGTGTTTTGACCCACAAGGCTCCAAAACAGGTCACTTCCGATAAGGATGTCGATTTTTTGGGGTTTAGCAAACATGTGGTCTGCCAACGGCAAGTTCTCTGGGATGTTTAAATGTTTTGTATTTAAGGGCGCAGACGGTAGATGACCCGAAATCTGGGGAACAATG